TATCTGTTATAGTACATTGATGATATCGGAAACTTAGCTATTTTTTCTTGAAAATATTTTTGATATATTTGGGCTAAAGACCATTTTTTATTTTTCAAATGACTAAAAACAAAGTTAAAAAACTTTTTGGAGCTTTATCATGTTAAGAAGCATTACATTGACTACTTTTAGCATTATGTAAAAAAGTTGAGGTCAAAAATCTTTATTTTTGTGCCATAAAAAAATTGAAGCATTTTGAAAAATTGAAGCTTTTGAAACAAAATTGAAACTTAACTTTTTACTGACCAAAGATTAAAAAGCTATTGAAAAAGCTATAAAGATTGGCTAGAAACAATTTTTTACTTTTTCACTGACCAAAAACAAAAAACACCTTCTTGATTTTTTTTAATATTAAGATTATGAGAAAAAAATTTGCAAAATAATTTTAACATTATGCGAAAATAATTTACGTAATAAAAATTGCTACCCACCAGTAAAAATTTCTTGAAACTCGCTAAACAAAATTCCACAAAAAATATTTTAATTTTCACAAAACTATTAAAAATTTGAATATATATATATATATATATATATAATTAAAATGAACTCATTAAAAATTAGTTTTGGTAAGCAATCCTTCTAAACTCCATTTGGGATGAAAACATAAAAGCCAGCTTTCTCCGGGCAGCGGATAAATATTTTCGAATGCTAATCTTGATTATTAAATTAATAAATTCGATTTATATGATTTTTACTCGCTACTACTTCTAAATAATTCAAAGACATTTGTTAATACGTCACTTTGTTGCAGTTACAACGCGTTGAGCATTTTAACGTCTTCGAGACGGGCGAGTCATCTACGCATTCTCAGGATGGCGACAATCAGGGAAAAAAATTTAAACTGGTAGGTAAAATATTTTTATAGCATTTAATGTAGGGGGGGGAGTTGAAATAGTTTGGTTTATTTAATGTATCGCTACTTAATTTGAAAGTTAAACTTTGAAACTTGTTAAACCTAGTTAAACTTTGAACTAACATTAATAAGATATGTTAGAATTAAAATAAAAGCAAAAGTAACACTAGCAAATTATAAAAAAAAATAAGCCATGCTTAAGCTGCCGATAATCCAGTGTAAATCCAGTAGAAAGAAAAGTGTCTGTAAGGAATTTATTACGAAATTGAAAACAAACCTCACCAATTTAAGGAATTAAACATTACTACAAATTACACAAAAGCATAAACTTAACGTAAAATAGATTATTTTAAATGAAACTTTAACTTATCGCTCACATCAAATTGTTTTCCTATTGCAGGAAGAATTATCTCAAAATGTCATTTTAATTTGTTTGTCCAGGTGACTAGAAATGTTGGCAATTTGAACTTAAATACATTACGATAAAATTAATAGACATATTAAGTGCTTCAATGACATAAATAGAAAATGTATTGTTTGGCGAACTCTGAAATCTAATAAAAAAGTTGCGTGGCTCATAAATTTACTTTAATAACTGAACTTTTGTTTTCGATTAAGAGAAATCTTGAGTAATTATTTTAGCTTTTAAGAATATTAAAAACAACTAATCTCAAATGAAAGCAAAAGTAACACTAGCAAATTTTAAAAAAATAAACCATGCCCAGGCTTAAGTTACCGCTTTTTTTTAAATCCTGATTTCGTACGAATACATTTATGACTCGAAGCCACTCACAGGTAAAAATATATGATGATAATGAAGAAGCACAGTCGATTTATTATAAATATCTACAACCATTTTCTTCATATAAATGCTTTACATGCATCAACCCCTTTTTGTGGCTGCCCAATAATGGGTTAGTGTATGGTCTTTAACTATTTCAGAACCATAGAAAGTCCACGTAAGTTTTTAGTATTGCTACAGCTCCTAATACAAAGCCGAAATCTGCAACATATACGAATCTTCAGTTTCTCAAAGCCAATGAGCCTTGTACAATCAATTCCTAAAAAATTGTTCATTCGATTTCCATTTTGGTTCATTCTGAGTATAGGTGCTAAATTTCTTTATGTCATTTTGTAGCATACTAAATGTAGGGTAGAATTCTATTTTTTGAATTAAAAAAAATCAAAACTGAAAATACTAAAAACGACCAACGTTAGTATTATTACTTATACAATTATAAATTAAATACAAATTAAAAAAAATTTTAAAAATATCATTTCAATAATAAATAATAATATTTTAATAGAGTAAATACGCCAGTATTTCTTTTATTCTACTGTATTGGAAGAAAATCGAATAATCACGAAAAGAATATAGCATTATATTTTTTCCGTGATTATTTCCGTTAAAAAGAATTTTTTACTTTGCATTTTAATATAATTTTTAACAAAATAAGTATAATAACCATTAAGGGTTTGAGAAATATATTGACTTTCCGTCACGAGAAATCCGAGAGAGCCTTATCTGGAAATGAAGAAAAACTGCTATTAAATTCCATTATGTTTCCGGGAGGGTAAAATATCCTTTACTACCATAGCTTTTTTCTGTTATAATACAGATCGTTTAATAAGTTATAGTAGCCATGGATTTAATAATTATTTTAACATAAATTTTTAACGAAATAAGAATAATAACCATTAAAGGTTTGAGAAATATATTGACTTTCCGTCACGAGAAATCCGGGAGAGCCTTATCTGGAAATGAAGAAAAACTGCTATTAAATTCCATTATGTTTCCGGGAGGAGTAAAATATCTTTTACTACCATAGCCTTTTTCTGTTATCAGATCGTTTAATAAGTTATAGTAGTCATGGATATTTCACTCCTCCCGGAAACATAATGGATAGAAATGATTTTAATATTATTTGTTTCTCATTTCCGGGTAAAGCTCCTGTCGATGTGTCGGTAAGTCTGCAAAAATAGTTTTCAATGTAATGTATTTGGAGTACATATTTCAACAAATTAAGTGTGAACTCATTCGTTTACATAGCTACTTCAAATGTGTACCAATATCTTATAAATATTATTAATAAGCAGTACCGTCAATAATACTATTAATTAAGCTGTTAAAAAGTCTACCCACATTTTACAATTATATCATATTTTATAAATAGTCCAAACGGAGAATAAAAAGGTAATAACCATTATATTATGTTTGTTTCTTTACCTTATATTTAATAATGGAAACCATAATGATATTTTAAAGTTTCTTTACCAAAAAATTGCTGGAGAAAATGTTTAACAAGAGTTTTAGATTTATTTCTCTAAGAATAGCATCGATAACATGATGCATATTTTTCAAAGTAAAAAATATACTTATAAACCTTACCTTAGTTGCTGCTGTTTCCTCAAAATGAGTTGTATCGTATTGCCAACTTGTGCATGGTACAAAGTTTTTGTCATTTCTCACATATTTGGAATTTGAATCTAATATTTTTCTATAATTCAAATCATACATAAAACAGGCCGCATCTTTGTGAGTTTCAAATATTTTGCGTTGCGCTGCTATTGATAGATTGCTATGTGCCACCACGGGCACATAACACCAGTGGTCAGGAATGTAAACTAAGAAAATAATATTTAAGACATACCATGGTAATAGAAAACCAGCTGGTAACAAAAATCCCCAAACCAACATTTTTTGAAATTTTCCAAAATCCCCCACTTCTTCAAGAATGTCCTCAAATTCCAGTTCCTTTTTAGAAATAGCCATATTCTAAAGAAATTTGAATCTATAAGTCCTATCAGATCGATAAATCCACAAATCTATGAGTCCACTGATCAACCACACTGCAACAGTTCAAGCTTTTATATTTCAAGTCGATAAAAGTAACTAAGTGCCACTTTTTCTTTGGTGATCCTTATTTTAGTAAGTCCATTGGTCTATAAGTCTACTAGTTCATCCACACAGCAATGGTTCAGGCTTTTACAATATTTCAAATTAATAGTAGGAAATGTCACCTTTCCTGGGCTATAGCGATGCTTGGATCAGTAAATCTATTGATTTACAAGTCCACTAATCCACCACTCAACAGCAGCTCTGAATTTTTTAATGATTCAAATAAATAATAGTAAATAACTCCCTTCCTGGGCTAAAGTGCTTAGATCAGTAAATCTATTGATATACAAGTCCACTAATCCGCCACTCAACAACAGCTCGGAATTTTATAATAATTCAAATAAATAATAGTAAATAACTCCCTTCCTGGCCTAAAGCGATGCTTGGATCAGTAAATCTATTGATATACAAGTCCACTAATCTATCACACAACAACAGCTCGGAATTTTATAATAATTCAAATAAATAATAGTAAATAACTCCCTTCCTGGGCTACAGCGATGCTTGGATCAGTAAATCTATTGATATACAAGTCCACTAACTCAACAACAGCTCGGAATTTTATAATAATTCAAATAAATAATAGTAAATAACTCCCTTCCTGGGCTAAAGCAATGGATCAGTAAATCTATTGATATACAAGTCCACCACTCAGCAACAGTTTAGGCTTTAAAGTATTTCAAGTAGTTAATAGTAACAAAGTTTCACCTTTCCTGAACTAATGTCTGAAAGAATATGCTTAAATTGCTCCTTTTTATGCAGTATGAAATGCGTAAAAACATATTCCCTCCTCAAAAAGAAAGTTCTAACCATAAATATGACATATTTTCAAAAGTGTTTATTTTATACTATGATTAACGATCCCACGTGATTAAAATTTATTGTTATTTTATCTATTTTTATTTGACAGGAAATACATAAAGTATTTATAGAGACTTCAAAAAATATTATGATCATCGCTTGATTCTTACCTTCGTATGTCAATGTATGAAATATTCACTAACAACTCCGTTGAGTGAAGAAAAGACAGAATTGTAATAAAACATTTATTTATTTACTTCCGTGTTCTAGTTACGATAAAGTAATAGTTAGGATCTGTACTTACTTTGAAGTAATTATTCTATATCTTATTAAATTTTCTATTATCAGCAGTAATAGATAATTTGAAAATGGGTCCATTATCCATTAAACGACTAAGATTTTTCTTAACGACTTTTATGAAGTTTTGTTTTTAAAATTATTTTACTGTTCTGAAAACATATTGCTGCAGCGTAAGAGACTACAATAGGTCTCAGGATCTAATATCGATATCAGTGATCGGTCAGAGCTCCATTTCAAATGACATGGAGATGTTAGCATGGACCATCATTTCCTCACCTCCAAATCTTACACTTGTTTAACAGTAGTCAGTATAATATAAAATACAATAAATAATAAGAAAGTGGTATTGAAAAAATTTACATGCAAAATTTATAACTATGTGCAAACATTTCTATTTCTCCAGAACTATTCAGCCGGTCAAATTTTGTATTTTGCCATTTAAAATTGCAGTCCTTAAAATGGTGTAAAAATGTATAGGGGTGAGTCGGGTAGCCCCGCCCACTTAAGGAGTATTGCTTATATTTCTGTATAATATTGAGTAATAATCAATGTTTTTGTATGTTTCTATTGTTTTATCATCTAATTAAATAATGCAAAAAGAATAAATCAGAAAAAGAATAGTTTAACTTAAAAAAATAGAAATTTAAAAAATTTGACTACTCTATTCAACATATTTTCAAAACTATTGTTTACCATGTTACCAGCTGCATAAATACTTGAAACTTTGAGAATAATCTTTTTTTAATATAGCAGTTAATGTCCGATGGCCCATTGACTTGAAAAAATATTCTATACATATGAAATTGACAGTGGGTGGGGGTACCCGACACTCCCCTACGTTAGAATTCAAAAATTTTTTCAACTATTATTAACTGAAATAATAAAAAATAATAAATATTTACTGGATTTTTGCACGGAATTATCACCCGATAAATAAATCTTATAATTGTGAGCAAAGATTTTTCAAATCTCTTAAAAAGTTCTCGAGATATATCAAGTAACATTAAGGGATCAAACTTCGGTTCGCATTCCTGACCAAACTATTGGAACCATATTTCCTAGATTACGGCTACCCCTAAAATTTGGGAGTCAGAAATACGAATCCGTCGAAAAAAAGGTATGTTTGTTCAAAGAAAGTACGTTTTTAATTTCATAATTTAAAATATCTTATGCACTAATGAATTGGCGTATTTGTAACGTAAATGCTGGTCAGTTCCGTAAAAAAGTTCTCCGGTTATAAAGTATAATATTTCGAATTAAAAATGAAAATATGTGTAACTGTAACCTTAGTGGAACATGCTTATTTCAATGAACATGCTTACTACAACCTAAAAATTGGCATCCATGATACTTTATCTAGTTTAATAAAATAAAATGATAAGATAAAAGAATTTTAAATTTTAAATAAAATATTATTATTTTCTTTGAAATTTTAAAGGTTTGTAATAACCTAATTGAAACTAAAATGTTTCACTAATGTGACTGTTTAGAGTGTAATTATTCCTTGTTTTTTTAAAAAAAGTACCAACTCTAAACCACTGGAAAAACATTTATTATCAAGATGTATTATCTTTTTTAGATTTTCTTTCTGTCACAGAAAATGTTTTCGTCCTGAAAAGAAAGTTAAACATTTTTAAAAACATGAATTGGAGATATTTTAAAATATTTTAAGACAATAATGTGATACTATGAGAAAATGCAAAAAAAGAAAAACTGTTTGCAATAGAAAAAAAAATTGGATAATAATTAAAATTAAATATTTAACTAGTATATTATACAGTTTTATCGATTGCTATTTAAATCATTTTTTTTCTTTTTGAAAAAAAAAATTCTTCTCTTGACCTTATAACACTCTACTTTATATGCTATGGTACGTCTGTATAAAAAACGAATATTTGAAATAACAAGAATATTTCCTACATCCCATGATGAGCTAAGGAATTCATATAGGTTAAGACTCCCAATTTTTGTGACTGTCAACATGATTGTGACAATGCGCACAGGCTTACTTCACGGACAAGCTGGTAAACATTGATCTGAAATTGGGTGGGTTTTAAGTTGCTGCTCTAGATCGAGCCTCAGTTCTTAACGATGACAGTTAATCACAAAAGCCTTTACCAAGCCGCGGTGGCTTTGAGAATAAAGCATTCATCTCCCAATGAGGCGACCCAGGTTTGAATCCCAGTGGTGGTTCGTTGATACAAATTCTGCTCCAGACTCACACCAACCACAATGCTGACGTTAAATATCTTCATTGGCAGACCGGTTAAAATCCCCTTGACGTTGGGCTAACCAAGAGAGATTTTCGTGGTTTTTCTTTTTCATGATTATACCGATTAGTTCCCTCAAAAAGTCCTCCACGAAGGCTAGTTTGTCCCAATGTTTGATCCAAAAGTTCCTTTGTTTCTGGGTTGGGTTTAAAATTACAAGGCTGCGGAATGTAATTTATTATCGACAATCGTAAACTCAGAATTGGGTCGACTGTTCAACGCCGAGTATAAAATAAAATATAAAATAGCCTTAACCCGTTTTGTCCCAACTTTATATATTGAAATGATACAAGAAGTGGTTTTATGGAAAAGGTGGTATAATATATTATCGAAATTAATTGGTTTTTCTACTGTTAGGGCATTCAAAACGTCTTTGATAGATCAAATAGTACTTGCTCCTTTTAATTCTAGATCTAGTCAGAAATAACTAAATCATTGTGGTATCTGAGAATCTTTTAATCCACCCAGATAAATGAAAATTCTGAAAAAAGTTTTCCACCACCATGAATGTCTTTGAAAAAAGGAACAGTCCTAAATACATGACGCTGGGCGTTAACCGGTTAACCACTAAACTATCGCGACTCCATGAATATTTGTTAGCTAACTTTAAAAACTTAGATTTATAATTTAAATAATAAATGTTATAGTATCGGTAACAATTTCATAGTAATGCCAACTATATTTCAATGCAAACATCAACTTACCGACAGCATGAGATAAATGTCTGTTCCTTTCCAAACTGTTCGGCATCTTCTATTGTTAAAGGTAGAGTTTCATTGAGTGTTTCAGGTAGAAAAATTGCAGCGAAGGCAGCCATTAAGTTAATCGATCCAATTATGAGAAATGGAATGCTCTGGTTTATCACTGACTGCAAAGTAAAAAGGCTATATTATGAAAGATAGGAAACAACAACTCTCAATAGTAAACTGGAAAAAAATTATATAATATCATTTATAAAAATTATATAATCTATTATATATAATTCTCTTACGTGGCTCCCAAATTTTGGCTGTATTTCTTTTCCGCCGGTGGCAACGTTTGCTTTGTTTTAAAAACACCAAAGCATTCTGCCTTTTAATGATGTGTTTCTGATCTAATATATATAATTCTCTTACGTGGCTCCCAAATTTTGGCTGAAGTACTTTGTACAACTAAATAAGATTCTTTTCACAACAGTTAAATATTTACTTTATTTTCTTCATTCATAGAGAAAACAGTCGGCAAAGAATTCTGTTAGGTTAAAAAACATTTCGCTAAAAAAATAACGAATTCTAAAAGAAATAAAAATAAACAACTTAAAAAATAAAAATGCTGTTGCCAGCCATAGAATTTTTTGAAAGTTAACTTAGCAACATAAATCAAAATGACATAGAAGCGCAACTAGATCAAAATTATGATACCTGAGCGCTTGACGTAACAAATCCTTCAATTCTAAAAGTGTTGTATCGCCAAATGCCCAAATTAACAATTGTGTTCTTAAAGAAATTCTATAAAAAGTTTTAAATAAACAACCTACTTCTACAACTGCTTCTTGAAGAACTTGGCTCATTGATTAAAAATATTGTTTTAATTTTACAGTACTAACTTTACTTCTACTTTCATTATTGCTATGACCCTCTTTCATTACATTTTACAACTTCATGCTAAATTTGAGGACTTTAAGTTGTTTTGTGGTTGAATACTGACATTTAGAAATGTGTACATAAAAAAATAATATTTAGAGGTTAAGAGTTGCCTCAGAAAAATTTGAATTGTTGACATTGAACTTAACAATGGAAACAATCGTTTTTGTGAAAAATTGAATTGTATTGTTGACATCAAAACTAAAAATATTGCGTTTCAACTTAACAATACTACCTTAATTTATACTTTAGAATTGCCTCGGAGAAATTTTAATTGTTAGCAATGACTTAAGGTATCCGTACACGTTGAAAAAGTGAATTTTAGCCTGAAATGACAATTTTTTTTATATTTTATATTACGAATCTCCGTTTATTCTAGCTTTCAAAACAGTTTAAATTTTATCTGTGAGTCAATTAGAACAAAATGTATGATTAAAAGAATATTAGTCGATGACTAAAAAATGAAACCGGAAATAGCATTCCGAAACCGGAACTGGGACAAAAACAGTTATATTTATCTTTATTTTGGGACAATTATCTTTCTTTGACTTAAATAATTATTATTTTAATGTTGCTAGAAATGAACCTCTCAATTTATCATTTATATTAGTAGCTTTAATGGCATTATTTGGAAATTTGTCCCTAAGGAGGTGTTCGTTGAATTGCAAACATTACAATTTGGTGTGTATTTGGCTGTTATTCAGTTTAATAAAGGTTTTCTGGGACTGAAAAGCATACTCGACATAGTTGGAGTCAGCCGTGACAATAAAACTTTAAAAGATTTTACAGAACTTGATTTTGAGTGTGTGTATGAGTCTCAACGCCATTCATTAACTAATGTAAAGATTGTCAGAAAAAAAATAAGGTTGCAAAAAAACAAAAAATTTGTAAAATTGAGAAAAAGGAAGGTATCACATACAAATCGGGAGAATTTTAGAAGTATTGCGCATTTTTAAAATAGAAATGATAAAATTTATACTTTAAATGCCTTTTTCTCAGAATGTAATTTCACGCAAAAATAGTAACTTTCAAAATTCATTATTAAAAAAGTTGTTGATATATTTCAATAAAAATTTGTATGTGTATTATGTATAATGTTTTCTAGTGCTTGTGCTACAATTGATTAAAAATGCTTAATAGTTTTTTATTATTGGTCTAAAATGTGAAATACGACGTAAACAATTTGACAAAAATCTCATAAAAAGTTTTCAATTCTCTATAAAAAATTTAATTTTCCAAATATTTTTATGATTGCAGTCAAATCACTAGACAAAATTCAGCTCTTTATTTTGATAATAACACTTTTTTGATACAATAATTTTGGTGAAGTATATCCTTTCACAAGTTTTATGAAAAAAACATCATTTTTTTCTTGTTATTTAGCTTTTAAAAACAAAATATAATATAAATGTCTAATTTCTCTTATTTAATATTAGTTTCTACATATAATAAATATAAAAACATAATTAAAGTGTTCTGAAACTTAATATTTTTAAAAAAATCCTCCAAACGTGTTCGGATACCTTAAACAAAAAGTTTTATTTTAACTGACAAATACTATATTATAATTTTTACTTTTTCTATGACTATATTAATTTTCTTACTCTTTTCTTCGTTTTTTATACATTTTATATTTCTGTGANATACTACCTTAATTTATACTTTAGAATTGCCTCGGAGAAATTTGAATTGTTAGCAATGACTTAAACAAAAAGTTTTATTTTAACTGACAAATACTATATTATAATTTTGACTTTTTCTATGACTATATTAATTTTCTTACTCTTTTCTTCGTTTTTTTTCATTTTATATTTCTGTGATGAAATAAAAAACTTATAGTTGTTCTGCTTCTGAACACTGATGAAAACACAAAATGATGGGCTTCGTCAACAATGAAAAATATATACATTTATTTTACAAATTCCATATTATTAAGGTTGCGCCTTTCAGAGAATTAAAAATACAAAATTATCTTCATCAAAGCCGATGCTTTACATCCGGCGTTCAGAAGCAGACTACTATTTCATATTGTTTTACAACACATGGCCTTAGCCCTCTGTTGGGAAAGACTTTAAAACAAAACTTACAACAGTTACTTTTCTCAAGAACTGAAATTTAAAATAGTGTGAATAAGAAAAATATGTGAACTGTTTGCAATTTCAAATTAATATTGAAATGTACAGGTTTAGAATTTTCTACAGTGAAAAGTTTTCGGAACTTCAGTATTCAAAAAAGTATACAAAAACTAGACGTTAAGAACGTATCCAATGAGCGAGCAAAGCGAGCATTGGATTGCGAAGCAATCCGAAATGAACTGCGAAAGCAGTTCCGGGGGTTGGTGAGAGCCAGCGAGCAGGGGGCGAAGCCTCCTAGTATCAATATAATATCACTCTTAATAAATCCTTTAAATAAATCTACTCTTAATAATTAACTTATTTTGTCATCACGTTTTGCTTTTTTCGTCGCCCGTGACAACGCTGTAAATAGTAATCGATAATTTTCTGGAATTCAGTGGAAATTTTAACCCTTTGACGGTTATAGACGAGTTCAGCTCGCAATCGAATCGTGCCTTATAATGCGCGCAAACGAGTTCCTCTCGGGAGCAAGATTTTGACCGCAATGGTTAGTAACGAGAACTACTCGCGTTGTGAAATTTTTCCCCAATGCGCGCTGACGAGCTGAGCTCGTTCGCCATTATTATTCTGCATTGACTATGTTAAAAACGAAAAGTACATATAAACTGTTATTTATGTACTACGAATACTTTAAGAAATTTTTAAAACGCGTGAGGCGTGCTATCTACCGTATCCAGAGATGCCCACTTGCTCCGCTTTGTAAAATAGTATTTCCTAGTGATAGCGAAAGTCAAGTTACTTTCAGTTGAGTATTTTTCCTTTTAAGTAATTTTTTCACCACCAAATATCAATAACTATAAGTAACATATAAAATGCAACGTTAAAGCAACAATCCACTGTTTACTCAATTAAAAAGTAGGCGTAATTGTCCATCTCCAACGAAATTTACTACATAATTTGCTACCACTTTATTATAACAATTCCAGAAGACCGGAGCTGTTGGCATCGCCAGAGAAGGGTGATATTTTCGGAAGAACGGAGGTGGAAAATAGATGCCACTTTCGACTGCTGTTTGCACGTAATACTGCGCGAATTAATGAAACAAAAACTGCTCATTTCCCTGGCCGTCAAAGGGTTAATTAGGTATGAATTGGATTTGATCTTTCAGAAAAATCCTAACGAAGACTTTGTTGGTGTTTCAAATATTTCAACGACTGACTCCACAGTGGTGGATCAACACAACAAGCACAAAACTAATAGACGTGACCACCCAATTAACACGTTGAACGCCACGCTAATTTTACATGTCTTGCCCGTCACGCCACAACGGCAATTTACTACGAACTAAATTTGCAAATATTGGACAGATTTTGCTAGTTTTTAAGAGGTTTAGCATAACATAGAGGTTTAGCATAGAGGTTTATCTGAAAAAATGATGAATTATATAAGCCTACGAATTATTTAGAAATAGGGGTGAATAAAAACCTAGTAAATTGAATTTATTAAACTAAAAATTACAATAATTAAGTAAATTTTGAAAAAATTTTCCGCAATACCATAAAAGAGTGTGAATTTTATAGTTCTATATCATGTTATACACTGTCAGCCAGCTGTTTTTCGCGGCCTATGTGAAAGGTCAGTGTCAGCCACCGATGGCTGACGTGGCGCTCAACGTGTTAATAAAGCTATTTTTATGTCTCATTTATTGCGCTCCCCGATGGCTCTACTTTATTAATTTAAGAAAAATTCTTTTCTAGAAGTTCATCCTTTCAAAATGAAGATTAACTGCAACCAGTGTCCTACAACAAAATATTGTTGCTTCAGGGCAACTCATGATAGTTCAAATTTACCACAATCAAGAAATTTTCTCTGGAACTTATGTTTCTTTATAAACCCTAAAAATCCTATAATCTCAGTAGTTGTAGCAATCCTCATATTATTATTATAGTATGGTTTTTATTAAAATCAGTACTAATTACCATAATACCAAAAGTACTAGTTACCAAAGTTAATTCAGCACTATTGACGTTAATAATAGTGAGGCGATTTTCATACGATTGCCCTAAACGAATCAATACCTTTTCACCATTAATTTATTTTTCTTTATTTCAATTACGTTTTATTACAAATTATTTATTTTTATAGAAACACATCTTAACACGTTCATTGCC